CTAAATTAATTCAAAACTATCCCTTAAAAGAGAACAAAATAAAACTAAAATGAAAACAAAATTCTGGTTCATCAGTGAAAGCAAGAATGTATTTCCTTACAGAATACACTGTCAGGATGAGTTTGTTTTGTGGCTTCTTGTCCTCTCTGAAAACTCTCCAAATTATCATTGTGAAATGCAAATATGGTCATGCTGGTAATGTTCCTCTTTCATCCCTTCTTTACTGTATTTATTCTCTTTCTAATTTTTTATTTTGGAAGGATTTCTTTTAAACTATCAGCTTCTTTATATTAAAATCCATTAATATTAGCTGGCTAAAAAAGATATGTCAGTGTTTCTTGTTATGAAATACTAACCTAATGTATTTAAGTATTATCAGTGACCATATAATCAATTTCAATTAACCTTATTGATATTGATAAATTATTTACAATATTGATATTTATAGCTTGAACTCATTCCATTGCATATGTGGATATAAGGTAAAAAATGGAAAACACTACAGATGTGATTTTGAAAATGAAAACAGAAAACATGTCAGAACAATATCTGATAATGCTATATAAGTCCATAAATGAGCCAACCTTACAGTTTACTATTTTTGGTTTTGGTTTTATGTCTTTAAAGAGTTAAGGAGTTTGACTAATAAAAGTTTATATTTAAAACTTTATGATATTTTTACAGATAACAAACAATTAGATTGAAAGTTAATAAAATTAATAAAATGATTATTATTGGTTCTCAGGAGAGGTTATAAAAGTATTACAGGTAAAGGATAACAAAAAAATCATGCAAATTTGAAAGCAAAATTATACTAATTTACTAGTTATTCTAAGATTTATTAACTCCGCAACAAAAATCAACATAATAATTTTGATTTTTTTTAAACATGAAAAAAAAAGTGGTTAAATGAAGGTTCTTTTGTTTCTTTTATATTAAATACTGCAAAAGCTCTTAAATATATAACAACCTTTAAAATGTAACTTTATTTACCTTGGCAAGCAAAATATATTCAGTTCTTTACTTTGGCAAGTAAAAGACATGAAGTAAGGGTGAATGATTATGTCTACAACAACTTCACAGTTATTCCAAGTATTATAATCCATGGAATTTCAATTTTCAGTTTAGTAAATCTATGTTAAAATTATTTGAGATGCTAAAATCAATATATTTTTATGAAGATTTCACATTTTTCAAAACGTCACTAGAAATCACAGAACCACAAGCATAGACTTTCACGTTTTTTGGGTTCTGGAATGGATTACATCCATAAGCAGAGCACAATTTGTATAGCTTTTTCCACAGCTCCAACTACTTACATGAGGATGATCCCCAAATCTCCATCTCCAGGACCCAAGACCCTTAACCCGAGCCTACATCTTTTATCCCCAACTGCCAAGCAGACGTCTGCCTCTGAGGTCCTCACAGGCACCTTAAACTTGCTATGTTCAAAACTGATCTCATTATCTTTCCCTTAAACTGGTCCATTCTTTATTCCTTTTCTATGTTAACGGCTGCATCACTTACCTAGACACCCAAGGAGCCCTGCTAGATTCCTTTCTCCACTTTATCCTATGCCTCCCTCCATATTTAATTGGTTACTAAGTATGCTAAAAACCCTATTTCTGAAATATCTACTGAATCAAACATTTTTGCTCTCCCCCCAGTCACTGCTTTATTTCAAGCCCCAATTAATTTTCATCAGTATTATTGCAGTAGCTTTGTAATGCATTTTCTTTCCTCAGTTTCACCTCATTTCAGTCCGCCCTCCACAATGTCAACAGAGTGGCCAGAGGCAAACCTTCTCTGCATAAGTTTCTTCAGTTACTCATTTTAAGGATTTAGAAGTGCCTTAGTCACCTGTCATCTGCTTCCTTTCAAACCTAATCCCGCCCTGGCCGGTTTGGCTCAGCGGTTAGAGCGTCCACCTGCGGTCCGGAGAGACCCGGGTTCGGTTCCCGCTAAGGGCATGTACCTCGGTTGCAGTTTGTCCCCGGCCCTGGTTGGTCGTGCGGGTGGCAGCCACTCGATGTGTCCCTTTCACATCGATGTTTCCCTCTCTCTCTCTTCCTCTCTCTCCCTCCCACTCTGTCTGTACAAAAAATGGAAAAGTGTCCTCGGGTGAGGATAAAAAAACAAAACAAAAAAAAAAAAACCTAATCCCTTCATGCTTTTTATACTAAAATATTTTCTTTTGAAAATGCTGCTCTTTTGCCTGGAAGGCCATTAATTAATTAATTTATTTATTAACAAGATATTTATTATCAATTACAGACACTATGTAGGACTTTGAAGATATAAGAGATGAAAGACATGATCTCTGGCTTCAATGAAGATTTGAAAGTGAACTTGAGCTCTTTCACTTTTCTTGTCTCAGTTTTGAACATAAGAAGTTTAAGATATCTATGGAGACTCCAGATAAACTCCTAATTCTTCCTCTCAAACTCAGCTGAAGAGACCCTGTCTCAGACTCTTCCTCAACACTCCTATTAACCTCTTTAGTAAAGCTGAGCGCAACACCTCTGTGCACCCCTGACATCAAGGACATATTTCTATAACATTTTCATGTAGCATTGTGACTCCTGACTTGATTCAGTGTCCCCTAGTAGACTTGAGCTCCCTGAGATGAAAAGCCTTATTGTGTCCCCCAAGTCTAACATAATGCCTGATCCACAGGCGATTTCATTCAGTAAATGTTATTTCATGATCACAGTATTTGTCACGTGACCATAGTGTACAACTCTTCATAGTTATACTAATTATTCAGCCAAGAAATTTAAAACTTTGTTATAAATTATTATTTTCAATAATTACATGGCAATTTTATAAAATTAATACAATGATTTGGTTCTCAGAAGATGCTGTAAAAGTGGTTTCTGTCTTATTTCACTGCTTTGTAGATTCTCATTTGCTACAAAAAGTTATGCATATGCTTTTTCTTCATTTAAGATAAAATTTGTCTGTCATATTAATTTTTAAAAAACAAACATTTTTCTAGCTTTAGTTTTTTACGTTTTCCCTTTTTATTGAATTTATTGGGGTGAAACTGATTAACAAATTATACAGGTTTCAGGTGCACACTCCCACAACACATCATCTGTACTGTACTATGTGTTTACCACCCCAAGTCAAGTCTTCATCCATCACCATTTATTCCCCCTTTACCCTCCTCCACCTCCTTCCACCCGCCTCCCCCGGCAATCACCACACTGTTGCCCATGTCCATGAGTTTTTCTCGTTTTTGCTCAATCCCTCGACCCCACCCAATCAGGCAGCAACCCTGACAGCTGTCAGCCTGCTTTTAACATTTCTAACTTTAAAAGAATACAATTACGCCCTGGCCAGCTTGGCTCAGCGGTTAGAGCATCGGCCTGCGGACCAATGAGTCACGGGTTCAATTCCAGTCAAGAGCATGTACCTCGATTGCAGTCGATGTGTCTCTCTCACATTGATGTTTCGCTCTCTCTCTCCCTCCCTCCCTCCCTCCCTCCCTCCCTCCCACTCTATCTGATGATAAATGGAAAAATGTCCTGGGTGAGGATTTAAAAAAGAAAAAAGAATACAATTACTAGGTAGAATTTAGAATATATAGACAAACAATAAAAGTAATGTAAGTTTTAAAGTAATATATATTTGATGCACTTCCTTCTATGACTTTTATATGTAAGTTAATTTTTAAACAAAGTAGTTATACATAAGATGTTTTACTTTTTTCACCTAACATTATATTTTAAATCCTTTAATGTTATTTATAGTTCTTTGAAAACCATTTTAAGCCTGTATGTTATACTTAATGACTATTCCAGAATGTATTGCACAATTATCCTTTATTTACATAAGTATAACATATCACTACTATAATTAATGTATGATCAAATGTATCACACTATTATAAATAATGCTGTAATAACATCCTCATACATAAAACATTGTACAGATCTCTATCTCTACAGGATAGATTCTTAGAATGGAAATTATTGGATAGAAGAATAAACTTTTAAAAAATATGTTTTCATTGATTTTTTTGAGAGAGAGAAGAAAGGAGACAGAGACAGAAGCATCAATGTGAGAGAGAAACATTAACTGGCTGCCTCCTGCACAACCCCCAGTGGGGACTGAGCCCAAAACCCAGGCATGTGCCCTGACCAGGACCTCTCAGTCCATGAGATGACACTCAATCCACTGAGCCACACCAGCTGGACAGAAGCATAAACTTTTAAAGGCTCATGATATACATAAAACAGTTTTCCAGAAAGTTTGTACACATTCACATTAGTTTATATATTAAATTACCAATGACATTGCTTCTGTTTGTTTTTAAAATTCATCTTCACGTGTAAAGGGGATTTACATATATTTTTCCCAGCTGTTTAAGGAAGTGTGATTGATGTGTACAGATGGCAGAAGTAATAATAATGCCTTACAACTGTGCAGCAACATAGTTCTTACCTAGTCTTATTTAGTTCTCACAATGACCCTGTGAAGTGAGACTATTATCTCTATTAAAGCTGGGGAAACTCAAGAAAGTTAATGTTGAAACAGGCCATTTATTAAAGTCCACCTCAGGAATTCCCATTCAAACCCTCAAGAATTTGATTGAGAGAAAGTAGCAGGTAAAAGAGTAGCTATTTATTTATTTTTTCCTCCTTTCTTTCTATCTAGTATGCAATTAGACGGTTAGCCCTTAATAAAAGGAATTATACGTAGGTGGTTCATTTGTATCAGTAGCAAACTGCTTCACTTAGAAACTAACCTATTCAAGTGAACTAACAACCAGTACAGCCTACTCACATCACCTCATCGATAGATTCTGTAGCTGATCTGTATTTTTCTTCTTTATTCAGAAAAGTATCAGTATTAATGTATGACATGGCCATTCATACAGAATGGCTACTCTTTTAATACAGCGTTGGGGGTGGCACAGGTGAAAAGAGTCGTCTTTGAGATGGGCACCAGAATGGCATAACTGATTTTTTTCTGGTTAAAATGACAATTCTTACCTTAACTATCAATCCTTTTGAGTCAACCATCCATATCTTTTTTGTGGCTTTCTCTCTTGGTAAACCTTCTTTTTCCATGGCCATAACAATCAGGTGTGCAATCCCTAAGGCAGCCTGAGAAGAAGTTATAAAAACAAAAAAATTAAAAGTTGTTCCACATACCTTATCAAGTTATATTTCACTCCATTTTGTCTTTGTAATAAGAGAGTACAAAATATCCCTGTCTAATTGAGCTAAAGAGCTACTCATTTTTAGTGGAAGCGAGTATTTTTGTCACATTTGGGTTAAGCTAAAGATCAATTATTCATTCTTATCACAACAGAACCACTATTATGTGGCTTCCTATTTAGCCACAAATAAACTAGTAATATCCTTGCTTGTCAGTATCTTTAATCCTGTTAGTACAATTGAGATGTGCTCCAATAAGAAAATACCAAATTTAAAATAATGAACTGGTCTACCTTGCTTATTGGACTGTGTATTGTTTATCGTTGGGTTCAAGCTCCTCTAATTGAATATGAAGAAGGAAGCCTGGTCATTTGGATGGGAACTTGACCAATTAGGGAATAAAATGAAACTCATAAAATCTGTGTTCCCAAGCATTTATTTACTCTATTAATTTGGACAAAGAAAGTACTGTGAAATTTCTTGCAAGATCACAGGAATGAAATTCTTTGATATTTGATAAACTTTGTCATAATCTGTGAGATTTCCAAAACCTTAGCAGAAACAAATGAGTGACAGTTTTGAATCGTCCAACCATGAATACTTCTGTCCTACTGAGTATCAAGAGCTGGCCTGTGTCACTCAACAATATCCTTTGGGAATTCAAACAAGTTTACTAAAATTAAGTACAGCATGTAACAATCCACAGAAATAAAAAACTCAACTTTTAATGAACTATTATTTGCCTTGATTTTTATTTCAATGTGAAAACAAATTTGTGATTTACATTCTGAGTATTTTCACATCTGTATCTTGGCATATAAATTCTAGGTTTGTGTCTTTGGTTTTAAGAACAAGTAAAATAAAAACCAACATAATATACACAATTTCTACAAGTGTAACATAATCATAATTTTATTAGATATGTACATTTAAAGCTTCTTAAAATCTATACAGAGTTACAGAGTATTCTCCATTTATCACAGTCTATAATTCTAAACAGATTTTGGCAATTTTCTCACAAGAAGCTCCACTCAACTGAATTTCAATTTCTAAATTTGGGGGATGCATTACTATTGTTAGGGTCTAGTTTTCTTCTTTTAAATAGTTAATTTATAGAAAAAGATAACAGAAAACAGTACAATTCTGTCTTGCTGCCATCTCCTTCCAACAGTATGTTTTGGATCTTTTGTGTGTAAACAGTTGCAACAAACAATGAGTCTCTAATTCAAGTATTTTTTTCTTAAAAACTTGAATATAATTATATGTGTAAACAGTGAGTTGTGAATGAAATTAAGAAAACTTTTGTATGCGACACTGGAGGATGTAAAAGTTAGCATCAGATACCATAGCTTAAATATTTCTTAAAGGCCTTTATATATAAGCATACACTGAAAACTTTTTTTTTGTTATTGCATGACATCTTAAACATGCGTAATAAAAACTTATGGAAACATCTGATAATCTTATCAATTTAAAACTGAAAAATGTCTCTATACCTCTAAAGTCTCCTATGAAAACTTAGTGTCTCAATATTTAATTTGTGACTCTTTCAATAACACCTATATTTACAATATATTAAAAATTTGAAAGAATGCCTCAAACTTCAAGTTAATGAATAATTAAAATGAATGCTAAGTTCATTACTTTAGCAGAACATAAGTATTATACAAGGCAGGTACCTCTCCAGCTCCTTGGAAGAGTAGTGTTTGATCAGACAGTTTGTTCTTGGTTATTCGAAGAGCTGCAAGGATACCTGCGACTGCAACAGACGCTGTTCCTAAAAGAAGTAATAAATGTCCTTGAGCAATCCTCAAACAGATCCTGCCAATTTCTAACCCTCAAATCTCTATTCATGTCTTAAAATTATTATACAACAGGTTAACTAGTACACAAAGGGAACGTGTGGTTGTGGGATCCCACCCTTGCATATGAGGTGAAATCCTCAGGCTATTGACATTAAATATTTTAATATACTCTTGAAACTTTCCAGAAAGAATATTTTGTGACTTAATTTGGTGACATAATAAAAAAAAGCATAGGGTTTGGATTCTCATGTAGACTTCAGCTCAACCTGTATACTAGCAGAATTACTTTAGAAAAATTATTTTATATATCAGCATTCTTATCTGTAAAATAGTTGTACTATATGAGATAAAAGAGTACTAAGTGCTATTAAATATTCTACCTAATTACTCTTGGGGCTCTGAAATCTATTACTGAGCCCCTCTACACAAAGTGGGCACGTAGTAAGTGCTTACTGATAATGGTGTTGGTGGTAATGATACATTTGGAATTCACTGTTTTAATTTTCAATTTGAAAAATTAACAGTTAATAGCAATTTAAAAATCTAATTTTGCAGCATTCTTTAATTGGCTTCCTACCTATGATAATCATTGGTGAATCCCAAAGGTGCTAGACAAAATTAATATAAAATTTATTTAGGATAAAAACTGGGTTTTCCTCATGTTCATAGAAACTTCACCAGTTCTAATTTTATTACTTTGCCATATAAGCTTTCACAGATCACAGAGTGGTTCTTTTGCTTTGAACATAATTACAGAGCTCAACTTCTTATGGCCCATGTCTGAAATAAATCTTTGCAGCTTCTTGAAGTACTTTCCAGCTGTGTCTAAATTTTACTCCTCTAAAGTAACATTGTACCTATAATGATTCTAGATAAAGCCTAATTAAACTTTAAACACACTCATTTGGCTAAAAAACAACAATAACATAGATTGGAGTAAGTCTGAAGAATGACACAATGATGGAATGTTACATATGCCAAGTACCTAAAAAATATTAAACATTTCACCATCAGTATATTTGTTCATTTCCATCTTTTGATTATTTGTTTCTTTCTTATAGAATTTTGTAGTCATAAAATGTGGATCACAAAAATAAAATGCTTGCAATTTTGAGTCACCGCTGCAATAAATTATGAACAACAGTAAGTCATACTTTATACAAAAGCCACTCTTCTATGGATTATTTAAAGTGAAAGTCTGTTTAAATATACAGCTGATCTATGTAGGAAATATATTATGACAGTATTAGAATGGTATTTGTCTCATACATTTACAGATGTTCACTGGAATTGTTAAACATATGAAAAACATAATTTTAGTTAGAGACTTATAGATATCTACTCACTAGATAAGTACTTATTCACAAATAGCATCTCAAGCTATCTCTATCTCAGGCTCTTGAAGTAAATTGGGCAGAAGTTCAGAGCTGAAAGACTCTAAGTTCCCTTCCAACTCAGATTCTATAATTTTAAAGGTCTCCATAGATTCTACCAGCACCACAAAATTTAACCAGCTGAAGAGTCAGTCGCAGTATCATCAGAAAACTCTGTATTTGTCTTACTGTTTTTATTTTAAATAGAACCATACAGTTAAGGATAAACACTGAAATACTCCAAAAGATCCTAACTATAATGTGGTGATTTATTTTTGTATGGTTATGCGAGATCATTCTGTATTATAATTCAAAAATTTTTAAGTTCACACTTAAAAATATTATGCCAATTAAGGTAAAATAAGTCTCTGTCTATACTGAATATTAGAGCCTCATATTTAAATATATATTCTGTAATATTTCCTGAGGATATAATAAAACATCTAAATTTCTCTTCATAGAATTAAAGTCAGAAAAATATCTTTAGCACTATCAAAAAGATACTTGAACATGATTCTTGTACGTAGCCTGGTCTGACCTCCTGGTACAACCTAGATTTAAATTTCATTGCAGTCAGGAGTAAATGTGGCAAGTTGATATTTCATAGTTATTTGCATTTTCACAATAAATCATTCCAAAATAACTTCTGTTTTGAGATTGACAACTAAAATTTTAGTCAATCAAAGAGAAGCTAATGTTTATCTTTGTACTATCACTGTATTTTAAAGAATACTTAGTATTTAACATTATTAGTAAGCTATTAAAGAGATTCAATCTTCTTAAAATTTTAGAAACTTCTATTTGTATTTGCCTATAATACGACTTTAATATTAAAACAAGTTGCCAGTTAGTTATACTGTTCTTTTGCTATGGTTATTAAATGTCAGTCTTATCTTTTATCAAAGAATGATCTCTACTAATACCATAACGTATTGATCTGATTATAATTCCTATATATAACTAGTAAAGGAGACTGACATGTAATCTAATCATTGTAATCCTCATGTGCTACTAAATGAAAATAGATCAGGTAAAGTACAAGGACTAGAACAGAGGAAACGGAGTGAATCTGTTTAGGCAGGGGCCAAGGCATTTAGAGTACATGCTACCTGAGCACAATACTGAAGGATGAACGTGACAGGTCCAGGATCTCAGACAGTAGGATGCACTATACAGGAAAAGCACGTGCAAAGACATGGAGGCAGGGATGAGTGTTAAAAATGAGAGACTGAACATGTAACATAGTTACCTTCTCCCAAACAAACTCTACTAAAACAACAGAAAGGACTTTTTTTTTTTTTCTTAAATCAAGGAGACCAGAAGAAGAGAAGAGGGTAGCAATAAAATTTTAGAAACTGGAAGGCAGATGGCCAAATGGCAACTGACTTAGTAGATTTTAAAAGTTGAATTCTTGGTTGGTCATGGGGAATTCTAAGATGCAATCAGACTGATACAGCAAGTCTCAAAAGGCCTCAGTATAAGAGGCACCAAGTACCTCTGGGAATGGAGATGAAGACGAGGCTAAAAACAGGGGCTAGTCAAAAATCTGTTCAAAAATGGTCAGACCTCAGATTCACGTCCCTCTGCTTCTAGTAGACCAACTGACCCTCCCACAATACGGAGGTTTAGAAAAAATGTAAAAGTTTATTTTCTAGAGAGGAGAGAGGGTCTCCAGACTGTAAGACACCAGGCCTAATTTTAAGACACAAGGAATAATTAGGTGCAAGGATGCCATTCTTATAAACAGAAGATTGAATGAAAATTTACAGATTCAATATGGAGACCCCCATTCTTCTCCTAATTGACTCAAAGAACACTGGCAGAAAGCTCACACCAGCAGAAAGTTAACATCAGAAGAGAAACTGGAAAAATCTTTTCTGTGGAATCTGAGCAGTGTTAAGAGAAAAGAACAACAGTGACAAGGATCCCTTAAGGAAATGGCTCAACCACGTCACTGCAGTGTGGTAATGATCTAGAATACAAGCTCCATTTGTATATGGAGTCTCCCAAAATGTGAAAGGAGAGGGAACATATGTGAAACTGTAGGTAGTACAGTGTTGCTGAAGCAAACACAGCTTACTAGAATGCAAAGTGACAGGAGGCTAGAGAAGTGTCAGGATGAGATCATACAGTGCCTTCTACTACATATTCATAGTAACTACAGATACATATATAACTATGTAGCATTATAATTTATTTTAGGTAAATGATGGTTGCTGAAAGATTCTCAATTCAGAGAGCAGTGGGGAGAATTGATTTGAGAATTTTGAGGCTGCTGGTATGTAGACAAATTAGGTCATTGAAATCTTTGATGTATATTCTTACAACTTTTTTATACATCTAATATATGCAAATTCAATAAAATTTCAATTCATTAAGAATATCTCATGCTGCTCTGGCCAGCGTGGCTCAGTTGGTTGAGCCCCATCTCATGCACCAAAGGGTTGCCAGTTTGATTCCTGGTCAGGGAACTTGTCCATGTTGAGGGTTGGATCCCTGGTTAGGGTGTGTGAAAGAGGCAACTGACTGATGTTTCTCTCTCACAAAGATGTTTCTCTTTCTCTCTCCTCCCTTCCTCTCTTTAAAATCAGTAAAACACAATGTTTTTTAAAAATCTCATGCCATGCTTACTACTTTAACATGCTTTCATCATGTAAAAATATGACTATGTTACCATGTCAATAATATATTTTAAAATATTTTGTATCATTATAAACCATAGCATAGATATATAACTTACTGAATCAAATCTCTATTTCTGAATATTTAAATTATTCTGATTTTTGTATCAAAATAATATTACAATAAAATATGCTTATCTGAACAGACACTTTTCCAAAGAAGATATACAAATGGCCAATAGGTACATGAAAAGGTGTTCAACATCACTAATCATCAGGGAAATGCAAATAAAAACCACAGTGAGATACCACTTTACACTGCAAAGAATGGCTACTACCAAAATGACAAAAGATAACAAGTGTTGGTGTGGATGTGGAGAAAATGGAACTCTGTGTACTGTAGGTATAAATTTAATTGGTGAAGCCATTATGGAAAAAAGTATGAAGGTTCCTCAAAAAATTAAAAATAGAACTACCATGTTATCTAGCAATTTCACTTACGGATATTTATCTGAAGAAAATGAAATCACTGTCTCAAAAAAGTATCTGCCACCCCATGTTCACTGCAGCATTATTTACAATTGCCAAGATATGGACACAACCTAAATGTCCACCTATGGATGAATGGATAAGGAAAATGTGATATGTGACAATGGAATAGTATTTGGCCATAAAAAAAGAAGAAAATCCTTCCACTGTGTTAACAAGAATGAACCTTGAAAGCATTATGCTAAGTGAAATATGTCAGACAGAGAAATACAAATACTGTGTAATCTCACATGTTGAATCTAAAACAAAGGGATATTGAGAACAAACTGGTGATTGCCAGAGGCTGGGGGTGGGGGACAGGAAAAATGGGTGAAGCGGGTCAAAAGGCACAAACTTCTAGTTATAAGACAAATAAGACCTGGGGTGTAATATACAACATGTTGACTATAGTTAACAATATTGTATTATATATTTGAAAGTTGCTAAGAG